TTATTCTGTAAATTTTGTAAATAAATGCCTGCATCTTTTTGTAAGGTGTATTATTGTGCTCTGTATTTCAATGCACTATTCTTTTTCTTTTTCTTTTTTGATGATTTGTTATTTCTTACTCAATTGCACTCTCTAACATATTATTAATGTCTGTATTTTCTTTCTATGGTGCATTCTAATGCTCGGCATATTGATGCACTGTTTTCTTGATGCTTTTGTCATTTATATATTATATATTATATTTATTTCTATATTATTTTTGTTAAACTTATTATTTTCTTTATTTTATTTTTATATTGTCTTGCTCTTTACTGTATCTTACTTTGTCAAACCTTTGTTATACTGTGTTACTTTTTATACTCATACTTTTATTTCTTTGTATTTAGACTTCATGGCTCTGTTTTTGTATTTCTTTGTTTTGTATGCGCTTGAGGGGAACTTTTCCCAGAGCGCTATAAAAATAAAGCCGAATCAATCAATCAATCTCTTTATCTTCTCTCCGTCTTCTTTCCTATTTTTAACGCTCGCGGCGCGTGTCGAGAATGAATCGTCGGTGAATTATCGCAGACCCCGCGTGTCCGTGCGCCTTCTTCGCCGAGAACGACAATCGGCCGGCCATCAATCACTCGTTCGCACTTCCGTTTGCCAAAGCGCTCGTCGTTCTTTTCTGTCATCATTTTGGTAAGTTTTTAATGTGTACGCGAATCTTCCTCTCTCTCTCTCTCTTTCTTTTGTGATCTTCAAATCGCCGTACTATGGTCGCCTTGACAGAGGATATTCTTGTGTCTGCACGTATGAGAACGTGGAACAATTGAAAAAAAGTTTAAGAAGATAAATTCGAACGACTGTTATTTGAGAAGAAAAAAATCACGAGTAAATTTATAATCATCGCCGACTTTGTTCGATCAACACGCAATCTTTTCTGTGTTTCACCGTCTGAATATCTTGATTAAGCAAAACGAACGTGTGCCGTAAAGCTTAAGGGAATAAAACGAATCCGAGTTTTATAGTGTACGTACACACATCGAAACGAACGAACGGATTACAACGAGAATCGAACGAAGTTCGTACTTCCTTATCCGACCAAACCTTACGCTAGTGAACTTCGGTTTTTACGATTTTCACGTGTTCGATAGCTGGACGATCCAAGGAGCGATAAAAAAAAAGAGAAAAAGGCAGTACAGAGAGAGAGAGAGAGAGAGAGAGAGAGAAAAGTAGCGAAAGAGAAACAGCAGAGAGATACGAGGTTTAAATACGAGCGGGAAAAGGGAGGAGAGACTCTAAGCTGTCTCCGACGTCTTCCCATAAATCGAAGAAGTCCGACTTTTCAGGGCCGCGTATACCGCCGAGCTTTCTCGAGCTTATTTAAATCATCTCTAAAGCCTACTTAATATTGAAAAATGGTCTTCGGTGATAGTTCGCTCTTCTTGTCCTCGTTTCCTTCGCCAGGATACGCTCGTTCCAACTCGAAGCTCGTTTGAGTAAACGAGAACGAGCGCGTCATTAACGGTCCGTTGAATTAACAACAATAATTGCACTAATTTCCGCATACTTTATTCGTTAACATCTGCGCCGGACTCGGTTGTTCATTAAAAACAACGACGCGTATGCAACGTTCTAATGGCGTTTTGTTTTGTTTTTTGTTTGTTTGTTTGTTTGTTTTTTTTTAATTTTTTACTTCGCACACCTCAGAGTGTTGTGCAACATTGAATGCTATAATGTTTGCTTTGTATAATCCGCTATCCGGAAAACGCGATTTCCGAATATTGGATATGCCGCGAACGAGATTTGCGCGAGCGTTACCCGATATTCATTTGCAGCAATCCGGAATGATTCGCATTTCACGAATGTGCGATTAATTCGGATTCACCGTAGTTATGGACGGACGTTGCGCCCGATAGCTAATCTAAATTAATCATTGCCACGTTTTTGCATATCATTGTTACAATTGTTTATGTTGCGAACTACATTTTACATCGTGTATCTGTTTTCATCTCGTTAGACTCTTGTTTTTTTCAAACACAATACTTTTGTTTTTTTTTAACTGTGCAGTTTATTCTGATCAGATCGGACTGTTGGACGAGATGCGGTCGAGCGTCACGAATATACGAAGATATACGCGGATATTCTGACGTATACGCACGATATACGATATGTACGGATTTCCGCAAACTCGAGAGCGAGAGGACTACAGAACGCCTCGTGCTCTAACCTTCCTACGTTTGTCTGACACGTATCGCGCCCATTTTCGTGCTCAATGCGTCGCACGCAGGATAGATGCGGGATTTAGGTACAACATTAATAACATTCGCGTAACTCCCGGCTCTCCCGAGCTGGAACGTAATGAAGCTTCGATGATCTTTCGCGTTTCTAACTACACATATATCGTTTGACGATGCCGCGTCGACACGCTTCAGGATTCTCATTCCGCCTCGTGACGCTGCATAATCGGTCTGACCGCAGAATCGCTGATGGATCGCTGTCGAAATGATCCTCGCAAACAGCGTCGAAATTAGAGCAACCTCGTGCTTGCCAAGGACATTAATTCTCGTTGACGCGCGGAAAAAAAAGACAATTTTATCAATCTATTCTATATTCTTTGAAGTAAATATAAATCAATAATCTTATTGTTACAGAGACACAGAGAGAGAGAGAGAGAAAGAAAGAAGGAAAGAAAGAGATTGCGTTAATAAAAACTCTAATTAAAAAATTTTTGCTTTCTTTGTCAATCGAGTAATAAGAGAAAAAAGTAACAACCGGTTATATGAAATTGGCAGAAAAAATTTAGTTAAAACTTTTCACGAGAAAGAAGGAAAGATGTATAAAACAGTATTGTTTAAAATATTGTTCATTGAATAATTGATTATCATTGGTTTTTTGTTGATCTGCAAAATTGTACAAAAACAATGTGCGTGTATATTTATTACCTATACGCAAAGCAGTCTCTTGAATCCGGTAGCGTGAAATTGACGACGATTTCGCTTGGGGGTCGCTTCGTCATAAATTACGGGACGGTCATAACACGGTTTACGACTTTTTGCCTTTTCGTTTTAGTCGCAAACTGCGCTTTGCGACTTTGTATTCTTCGAGCGTGTCCCGAAGTGACACCTTTAAATCTTCGTCATGCCTCGGTTACCTTTCGCCTGTCTCTGTTAGACAAACCGACAATTACGTCTTTTTGCCGTGCGTTTCGCAACGTCGACGCGTAATGACGTAGCGTGAAACTCCCGTCCGCTGTTTATTCATTATATGCGAGCTTTCTGCTCGTTAGAACAATATGTAAGCCGAGCTTTTATTCCGAGATGGAATGACTCGGGAAAAATTTCTCGCTGCGCTGTACATTTGCTTTTTATTACCATTTATTGTACGATTGTGTTTAGAGCATAATTCCAATGCATGTCTTATTTCTCTTTAAATAATGTTTTAATTGGAAAGAATTCTACATTAAATTAATAATCAAACATTTTATGACATGACATATATTTGTTTTTTTTTTTCTTCTATTCAACAGCGCGATAGATCCATCGTAACAGTTGATATTATCAACGGACGTTGACAAGTCTCGCTTTTTTTGCTTTCTATTTTCTGTGACCTTCCGTAGATACCCGTAAAAGACAGAACTCCCCGTGCTCTTCTGCTCGAGTACACATTAGTTCTCCGTGCCATTTCCGCGAGTTCAACCTTGCCCGACACGCGAAACCGTCGGCTTCTTCGTACATTCGTTCGTTCGTATGAAGTTTGACACGGAAATTTATTCGCGCTTAACCGATTTGGCGGCGTTTCAAGACGGATGCTCCACCCACCCGAGGAGTCTGCTGCTGTTTTACGATCAAAGTTCAGAACGACATTTGCACGTCGGCTCTTTCGTCTCGGTTCCGCAGCAGCCACCGTGCTACCGCCCGTGTCTTTTGTGCTATTTCTCTGCCGAATCCTCGCAGTGACCGGTTTCTCGATTTCTCTCACCGTCGTCGTCGTGCTTTTCTTCATCGCGCGTAACACGCCCGAATGATTCGCCGTAGCACGGCTGTCGTTCTGTTCCTCGAAAATTTCCGTCTCGGTAATCTCGGATGCCGCCAAGGATCTATCGAGAGTGACCGATGGTAGACGGAAACATTTCCGGGCTTGGAATATCGGAAAATTTTGCGAAGCGAACGAATTCGGCGAACGTGAGCCTCTCGAGATTGAAACGCCTGATGTTGACGGGGGGAAAGAAACAAGCGACCTTCTCTCATAGAATAAAATATATGAGGTGTAAAGAATCTATAGCATGTTGTGAGGAAAAGATGCCATAAAGACTTCAAGATGTGTTTGTTTGAAGTATTTTATATCGGAGAGCTCAATCTCGCATTTTCATGCGTGCTTTGCGCGACGCATCATCTAAGTTGACCGAGTATTAAAAAAAATCTGTTCGTGCATTTGGTTCATTGCTCAGCATTGTCTTTTTTTATGTTTTATCAACGTTATGTAAAATTTTACATAATTGTTTAAACACTTACTTTATTCGTATTAATTTATCACGAAGCGCGATAACTCTCGTTCTCTCTCTCTCTCTCTCTCTAACATGAGAACATCGCATATTTGATGAAAACCCAGTTCTAGTGCGGCGAGTGATTACAGAAAATTTCATAGCGGACGGTGGAGTGCACTCAGCTTTTGTAGGTATGCGTTGGGATTTCGCAATGCGAATAATTTTCATATGAATGCTGTTCAGTTTCCGCGATATTGCGTTTCCGAAATTATTAACAATTCGCGCCACTTGTGAATTTTACATCCGAAAATTACTCGCTTTTGCGTTTCGGAAACATGCAAATAATGATGCAAAATAAAAACCGTATGTTTTAAACGTCTCTCTTTCTCTCTCTCTCTCTCTCTTTTTTTTTCTTTTTATGCACGTGATAGGAATTTATTTGTAATCTAGTTTTTTTGCGATGCGCGTAGCAATAGAAGAAATGATCGATTTTTCCGCTCACTAATCTGCAATTTTCCTGTTTCTGTTGCAGAGTGACAGCGGGCTAGTGGACACAGATCCAGGTCGAGTTAGCAGCATGACAGCCATTAACTCGGTGAGCAACCAACGTAAATTAATACGTGGCGGTAAAAGCAATGCGCACAGTATCGCTTCGTTTAATAACTCGATATTACATCGACTGGCTGCGTTCGTTTTAAATTATACAAACTGGATAATTTGCCGATAATTTAATTCAACGGTAATGGTGCCGATATATTTGGCTACAAGCTGTTGTGTACGTGTGCGCGACCAAAGAAGCGAGAAATCTCTTCTACCGTAAAGAGAACGATAATGCAACTTCTGTTTTTTACGTTACTGTGCGCGTCTGCGCTTCTTCCGCAACAAATCGAGAACAGTTATCGTATATACAAGCGAGAAGAAAACTCTTCCTGCGTCGAAGTCTTGATTCCGAAATGCTTTTGCAAACTTTGTTCGGCGAGCAATAAAAACGAGCGTGATGGTAATGCGCTTCATCAAATATGTAGACAAACTCTTTCGCTGTAGGGAGACGCCTGTGAAGCTTCCGTCCGCTAATAATCCCATAATGTCACTCGTACTTTTTTACGGGGGGAGGGGGGGAAGAAGACAGCGGTTTTGGTGTACGAATGTTTGCGCGGCGGGACGTTTCGACTCGACAAACAAACGGGAAACAGAGGGTGCAATCGTAGTATTTTATCGAGCCTAATACAATTATCGTCGGGTAACATTTGGTATTGTTATGATTAAGGGAGGAGAATCGTTTTTCTCTCTCTCTCTCTCTCTCTCTCTCTCTCTCTCTNTGTCTCTGTCTCTGTCTCTGTCTCTGTCTCTGTCTCTGTCTCTGTCTCTGTCTCTGTCTCTGTCTCTGTCTCTGTCTCTGTCTCTGTCTCTGTCTCTCTGTCTCTCTGTCTCTCTCTCTCTCTCTGTCTCTCTCTCTGTCTTTCTCTCTCTCTCTCTCTCTGTCTTTCTCTCTCTTTGTCGACCCTTGTTATAATCCTGGCGCTTCGTGGTCTGTTCCTTCGTCGAGCAGAATTTAGCGTACATACATACACGGATACAGCTTATACACGATTTTGCTATACACGTATGTGCGCGTTGGACTTAACAATTTAGCGTAACTTTGGCGCAAGTTCTGTCGCAAAAGAGCTTTTTAAGTATAAGCCGATACGATTATGAAGAAAGTCAGATGTGTAGTATATAATCTCTTAAATTTATATTTAAATGTTAATTCTATAAAACGGAAAGTTAATATTTCTGAAAGTTCTTTTATGAGATTATTCTATCAGAATGTAAAAATCTTTGATATTGAAGGAAAAGATGATAATGTGAAAAAAATTTTAAGTTTCACCAAATAAATCTTTTTTTGTTTTTTGGTCAAACGTAATTTGATTATAATTTCACGATTTTGTTTGACACATAGCGACAATTATCTCGTCGCCCAAGCATATAAAAAGTTAAACATCTCTACTTGTGTCAAATTCTCTTTTTTTTTATATTTAGTGCGAATGTCTCGACGTTCGAATGCATTTTACTATAAACCGTGGAAATTCACCGTTTGCATGATAACGACACGACAGCTCGAATTGTGGAAGGCGAGACGACGCGACGGTGTCTTCTCTCCGGGGAATTGTACCTACATGAAACTGACGCGCACGGCGTGTTCATAGTCCTCGCAACTATCCGTGAGCCGGAGGCCACCGCGTTTCCCGGAATTCGCGTATTCGCACGGATAGACGAGAATTCGGTGGTACGCTTCTTCCGCTTTCTCTCTATTTCTTGTTGTCGTCGCCGTCGCAATCGATTTGGGAATATGCATCACGCTGCAGAATCCCGAGAATTCGTGCAGCGAGAAAGAACGAACCCCCGAAAGGGGTTACCAAGTTGGTCTCTTCGACCCGTGTTGTCGCGCGACATCGTTATATCGAAGTTGAAGTGCAATTTCGAGTCCCGTAGGGAATTACGCGTGTTGATTACTCGTGTGCGCGCGCGCGAAAAATACACTGCGGATTTGCGTTTTCAAAGGAAACATTCGTTGCACGCGATATCGTAATTTCTTCGAACTTGATACGGAAACAATTGGTGCCCACACACGTTTTACTACATGATAAACGACGCAATTATACGTCTTCGAGAGTACACTTGTCGCGAAGTTTTTGGCAATCATCCCATTAAGCACGCGCGTGTCGTAACGAAAAGAATTTCTGAGCTTGACGGGCACGTGAGTGACTCGGCGAGAAAGAAAGAGAGTTTCGTTTTTCCAGAATCGAATTACAATCCGTCTCGTAGTAACAAAAGCGACTTGTGTCTTATGACTGCAGACAGCTAGAAATAAAGCAATGCCTGCAACGTTCGTTCGATTAGGAGATGCGAAATCTGATACGCGCGCTCGTGTTACAATGTTGCTTGGGTGTACCTCGAGTATTACGCGAACCGTAATTGAGAGGAGAGTATCAAGACTGCGTTTCATTTAATAAGTTTTGTGCACGCCAGTAAATAGCCAATAAGAGAATAGCTCGCAGGAAAAAAAGCAAGGTGATATTAGAGTTCTTTTGATATGGCGTGTTTTTCACTTGTAGCATGCAAATCGACGTGCGAACGTCTACTCTACGAAAGTGACGAGATCGATCGGAACATTATGATGCATTTTTATTCCGCATTGCTCCTTTTGCGCGCTATCTCTCCGCCTTCTGTGCGCTGTATTATTCAAACTTTACATACGTTTGAGAAACAAGAATATTCGACGAGGCAGGTTCGCGTCGATGCTTAAAAAGCGCTCGTCTCGGCGGCTCGTTATTCCCCTCGGTATCAAAGTCGACGGACATTTGCAAGTGAAATTTTTGCAGCTCCGCAAGTCGACCGCGGATAGATTTCCAACTTTGCCGTGGTCTAAACGTGAAGAAGTGATTCCGCAGTTACTTCACGGTGTTGTTTTTTCTAACATCAGTATTTGACCAAGAACAAAAACAAGCTCCTGGGAAACAGAGTCTAAATTGAAGTAAAAATTGTAGAAATTATGAGCCACCGGTGGTAATGAGTGATATTTAATGAACAGCAATTTTGGGACGTTTCGATTCATTTATTTCTTTTGAATTATCATTAATCAATCTGCTGTGTGTACAATTAAGGCAAAACAATTTTTGTTTATTTTTTGCACGACATTTTAGCAATTTGATATATAAAGTCAAATATAATATATGCTAATATTTGACAAAAAACATTTATGTATAAATAACTTGTTGACACTTGTTGCCAATTATTGGTTTGACTCTCCTCGGTTGTTGGTTTTCTATTTTCGTGTTTGAATTTTGATTTTAAGACGGGTACATCGTAACTCTTGTTAATATTAGCAAATTATGTTTGGCTTACGTTTATACTAAATTGTCAGAATATCATGCAAAAAATAGATAAAAATGACAATATGTATATGTATCGTAACAGCGATGGCGCGCGCGTAGCATAGTATTCCAGTAATAACAAAGAAGATACTTGGAGAAAATATTTTTGTTTGTATAAAATACATATGTTTACGCACACATATACAATATGTATCTCGAAGTGTGAGGCAAAGTCTAATTCGTTTGCTTCCGTGAGATATTTTGTGTGCTCGACTTTTTCCGAGCTACAGTCTTGCGGAAAGTGACGCGCTCGAATCCGGTGACCCGGCAACCGAAGCACAGACGAAAGTCGGGTCTAAAGGACGCCGAAGAGGAAACTAGTTTAAATAAAGACCATGCATGTGGGTCAGTCGGCGTGGCGTTGCGGCGTGCGTGTGCGTTACGCAAGCCTTGCGTCGCGCATCAGCGGCGTCGTCGTCGTCGTTGTCGTCGTCGTTGTCGAGCTTTGCTAGCCGCGCGGAGGAGACGCGTGCATAACGTGCATCAGCTGAATCCGTACATTACTCCCGAAAAGCATCCGAGCGTGTACCGCCGTAAATGTGGGATAAAGATGTATTTATATGTTACCTTGCAACTAACTCTTCTTTGGTTGTTTGACGCTGAGCAACGAGGAAAGAGAATTACGGGAATTACGAGAATTACATTATCCTGCATGTTTCGAAGGTACATGTATATGGAAGTACTTTTCGCGGATGATGTACTTTGTTCTTCTCCAGTCTTCGCTTATCTGGTCTTCCTGCTCTCGTTGTTATTAACGTACATTCGCCTCTTAGTCTCTGATATTATGCGGTAAATGCGAAAATCAGGAAAACGGTCTGTAATGTACATGAGAATAAGAACATATATGATGGAAGGAACTTGAAAAGTAGACAGAGTATTTCTTTAACCAAATAGTGTTCATTTTTTTTTACATCAGTTTATTCTACACTTTTGCGATATAAAATTATTCAAGGATGTAGCTCTGAGATTTTTCAACAAAAAAAAAAAAAAAACTGATCGAAAACGGCCAATGAGAGCTTGGACATAGAATCTTTGGTATAGAATTATGACAAAAAGTAAAAAAAGAAGAGAAATTATTCAACATATCGATCGATTTTGTATGACTTGCAAATTAGCCACATATGAGGAACGTGTAGTTGGCACGTTCTAGAATTCTCGCCTTATACGTAGAGAACGTGGTCTGAGCTTAGAAACGTTACCCGATATAGATGTATGTGTAGAGATCCGTTTATAGATCCGACTCGCATCTGCATGCATCACATCGAGTTGAACTTTACGCGGGACTGGACCCGAAACTGACTGTTGGAATGAAACTCGGAACCACTTCAAACGAAGCGCCACACGGAAATCTGCCCGCGAGTCTCGCGAGTGCGCGGCTTCCGGCACAGTCTTCTTCTCTTTTGTGACACACGAGAAGTCAGACGTCGGGCTCGTCGGAGTAGGAGAAAAGCTGCTCGCCGCGGGAGTTATGTTATATTCACAGAGAGCTCAGTCTCTCTCTCTCTCTCTTTCTCTCTCTCTATCTCTCTTTCTCTTAGAGAAAGCTGTATTTTCCGAGGTTATTTCGAATTTGCGCCGAAAAAATCACGCAGCGAGAGAGAAGAAGTGCCTCTTACGAGCTTCAATCTGAAGTACTGAAGTTCGAAGCGCACGACACATTCAAACGTAACAATGACAAATG